TTCTGATGGCCCCATAAAACTCCTCATACATTTATGGTTAATAGAGTTTTTTCTTATTTGCACACATTATTTATGTTTTTGATTAAAATCCTTTCGCTAAAATGCCAGCAGAATGCTTATTGTATTATGTGTGTCTCGGGCCCCCCCCCCCCCTTCATTGGACTAGTCCATTTTACTGCGCATGTGCCGAAAGGATTCAGGAAGACAGAAGCAAAACAAACGGAGGGGTCCGTCGTGTGGAGATCGAGATGAACAACCAGTGAGTAATGTTATCAGAACTGTCCAAGGGGTAAATTTCTTCTTTTTTTTTTAAATTATCTTTTTATTATGTTTAAAGTCAACATATAGAGTGTTATACTTTGTACTACTGTTGAAATAGTACAAATTGGACAAACAGAAAAAAAAAGTAAGACAATTAAAAATAGAGGTAAAGTAAAATAAATAAATAAATAAAAGGGGGGCGTGTAGCATAGAAAAAAAAACACATGGGGGTTACATTACAAATGATGTTCCATTATAACCTGACGTCTGATCTATGTGGGCTAATGAAATCAATCCATCCTTTCCAGCATTTTTCAAATTGGTCCATCTTGAGTCTTAGAGCGAATGTTAGTTTTTCCATGACGTAAATTTCATGCATCACATTGAACCAGTCTACTAGTGTGGGTGCTCTTTGATTTAGCCATTTTTTTGTGATTGCTTTTTTACTGGCGACCAGCATTATGTTGAACATATATAAATTTGAGAAACCTAAAAGTTGGTGTGGCTTTTTACCCAAATACATAACTTGAAAACAAAAATCAATGTCACATCTTAATACATTTTTCATATTGTCTCTACTTTCAATCCAATATTGATGAATCACAGTGCATTCCCAAAACACATGAAAGTGATTTGCTCTGTCTGTCCCACAGCCTCTCCAGCATGTTGTCTGCCTCCCCCCAGGGTGCTTGAGTGCAGGTGTTAAAAAATATCTGACCCTGTTTTTCCAATTAAACTCTCTCCATGACAAAGAGTTAGTTGATTTCCATTGCATGACATTTAAATTTTCCCAATCCTCTAGTGATAGTACAAAGTTTCCTTCATTTTCCCATCTTTCTTTTATGTAAGATGTATTGGTCCCACCTAATTCCTAAAGGCCTTGATATAATTTGGAAACAGTCCCTGCACCTAGGTCTGCTCTGTATGCAGCAATAAAGATTCTTAACACTCCTGCTCCAGATGTAGATTTTCCCAGATCAGCTTTGTTAATTATTCTTTCTCTATGGTGTCTTAACTGCAAATATCTAAAGAGGTCCTGGTTGATTATTCCATATTGATACTTCAAGATTTGAAAACTTTTAAGAAAGGTTTTTTCAAAGAGGTCCAAATAAATATTGATCCCTCGCTGCTGCCACAACTTAAAGGTTGCATCCAGTCTGTTTGGAGTGAAGCCTGGGTCATAAGCCGCCCACCTTATCAGTGAAAAAGGCTCCTTCTGCCCGTATAACTTCACCATTTTAAACCAGGCTTTAAGTGATACCTCTAGCCATGGGTTAGGCTTTGCCTCAAGATGGTGTTTTAATTCACTGTCCCCAATGGTGGCCTGTAATGGGATCTTGCCCAAGAAAAGGCATTCAATGATTTTCCATATAGCTGAATAGCTTGGGTCACAAATATGGATCAAGGGTTTAATCTGGGCAGCCTGATAATAAGTTTTTAGGCAGGGGAGAGCAAGGCCTCCTTTACACCTTGGAACCTGGAGTGTCTTGAATCTAACTCTAGGTTTCTTTTCCTGCCACAGAAATCTCGAAATCCACTTATCCCACTCAGAGGTTAGACTTGTAAGGTCCTTTGGTATTTTCACACCCAGGTAATTCAATTTGTTCACTTCATTAATGGCATACTTATCTCTGAACTGTTGACACGTTGTGTATTTGAATGTTAGCATCTGAGATTTATGTGAGTTTAATTTGCAGCCTGATATTGCTCCAAAATCTGAAAGTGTTTGCATTATGCAGGGAGAGAGGAGGCCGGGCGCGACAAGAACACCAGGACGTCGTCCGCAAAAAGCGCTATCTTATGTTCACCAGGCAATGAGATACCATGTATATTATCATTTTGTCTGATCATTTGACTTAAAGGCTCTATGAAGAGGGCAAACTAGAGAGGACTAATAGGACATCCTTGTCGACAGCCATGCTCCAACTCAAAGGACTCTGAAAGGGAACCGTTTATTTTAATTCTTGCTGTTGGCTTGTTATAGAGACTCTGGATTGTCCGAATAAACATTCTATGAAATTGAAATATATGCAGACCGTTGTATAAAAAAGACCAAATTACAGAGTCGAATGCTTTTTTGGCATCCAAGCCCTATATGATTGCTTCAATTTGTTCCTGGTTTATCTGATGGATCACATGTAATGTACATCTAAAGTTATCTTGAGTTTGCCGCTGTTTAAAAAAGCCTGTGTGATCCAGGTGTACGATTTCAGGCAGAATTCGTTCCGTCGTTTAGCTAATATAGATGCAAAAATTTTGTAGTCCTGATTTAAAAGGCTCACAGTTCTATAATTTGAACAGTCCAGCCTATCTTTTCCCTGTTTGGGGATAACTGTAATAACTGCCTCTCCCCAGGAGGGGGGAGGGTCTCCCCCCTGCAGCACCCAACTGAATGTCCCAAGCTGCAGGGGTGTCAAAGGTTCCCTCAGTACCTTATACCACCCAGATGTGTATCCATCCAGTCCTGGACTTTTGTTAGATTTAAGCCTGGAAATTGCCCTGTTCAGTTCCTCTGCCATTATTGGTGCACACAGAGATTCGTTTTGAGCCTCAGACACTGTTGGGAGGTTTAGCCCCTCAAGCAAGAAGTCTCTTAGATTCTTGTTTTCCAATCTTGGTTGAGTATATAAATTTTTGTAATAAATTTCAAAACACTGATATCATTTAAGTCATATTTTATACTGCCATCACTTGAATCTCTAATCTTATAAACAGTCCTCTCTGTTTGCTGCTTCTTTATTTTATATGCCAATAATTTAGTTGATTTGCTTAGTAGTAGTAGTACTTTTGCTTAACAAACATTAAGTTTTTAAGTATGTCTCTTGATTGGTTGTTATTTATTTTAGTTTTTATCTGATGCATTTCCTTTTCCAGGTTTGCATCCAATGTTGTTTTATGTTTCCTTTGTAAATCTTTTAATTTTGCTTCCAAATCAATAAGTTCCTGTTGTTTGCTTTTTTTAATGCAGTTGTCTAAGCAATTATTTTTCCCCGTAACACTGCTTTGCAAGCATCCCGTAGGATGGAGGGAGAGACCTCTCCATTGTCATTTTCTTCCACAAATTTTTCTATTTCAGCCCTCAACTCCTCCTTCATCTTCCCATTTAGAATAGAGTTATTTAATCTCCAAGATGTAATCCTTTTTTTTTTTTTTTTTTTTTTTTTTTTGACATTTGAGTAGTACTTCCATCTGAACTGGAAATGCACATCCTTGTAAAACATCAAAAAATAATCAATTCGGGAGTAGGCAGAGTGGGGATTTGAATAAAAGGTGTAGTCTTTAGTTTTGGGGTGGAATTCCCTCCAAACATCAATTATACTGTACCTGATTCAAGCATTATGCTGTTGATTTTTTTGCTAAGTGAACTGTTTTGGGAGGAGGTCCAACATGAAGAGTCTAAACTGGGCTTTAGTCTAATGTTTAAGTCTCCTCCACATATCACGAGGCCCTGGGCTTTAGAAAGCATTAAGTCAAAAATTTGTTTATACAAGGACCAGTTTGCCCCAGGAGGTGCATAGACGTTCAGAAAAGTGACTTCTTTTCCTTCCATTAATCCACCCACCATAATGTATCTTCCCTCCCTATCTTTAATTTCAAAATTTACTTCAAAAATAAATCTTTCTGATATCAGTACTGAAACCCCCCTTCTTGTGCCCAATTTGTAAGAAGCAGAAAAGACCTTATTAAATCCCCTTCTTTTCAGTTTTGCGTGGTATGGTTCAGAGAGATGTGTCTCCTGTAGGAACACGATTCCCACCTTGTCCCTTTTCAGTTTATTAAAAATTTTACTCCTCTTGATAGGATTGAGAATGCCATTCACGTTATATGACACTACTTTAATTAGGTCTGTATTCATTGTACTTTTTTGGCATTGTCACCCAGCCTGTCTCTAAAGTAACCTTACCCCAAATGCTACACAAACAAAACACATAGCTCCAACACAGGGGTCGCGTTAACTGGATATTCTCAGTCATTGACCGTTTTTTTACAACAATGACTGGAAAATCTGAAGGCCGTCGGTCATTTTGACCGGTTGCAATTACCACCCCTGCCCACTTGGCGGCGGAGTGCACAGTACTGCAGAGAAAAAGTCATTCATCTGCTTCATGTAGCGTTGTTGACATAACGCCCTGGACACACCGGACGCGGAACCGAAGCACGGCGCCTAGCAGCGGAGGCAGTTTTCAGTCAGCGCCCATGTTATCCTATCTGACTGTCCACACAGGCCGCTGAGCAGAGCGGAGCACCCGCGGAGTAGAGGCAGCGCTTCAGTTCGGCGTCTGGTCTATTTTTCACGGGAGCCGCGAGCACTTCTGTCAAGCTGGATCGAGCGGATCGTATCAAACAGGAAGTCGGACACAGAAAAGACGAGAGAATCCGGCCAATTTTCAAAATAAAATAACAACAGCACGCAGGAGGAACGTGAGGAGAAAATACCGTGTTTATAATTTAAAATAACACAACAGTGCATAAACGAACACATTTTTCAATACCATAATCACTTCATTACAATTTTAATCTTGTGTCACCGAGCCTACAGGCATAACTACATAACACCCTGGACACACCGGACGCATTAGTGATGTGTTAGTGCCGTCCAGTGTGTCCAGGGCGAAGCCTAATGGCACGGGTGTGTGGATGTCTGTTCATCTTTTTGTTCATGTCCTTATTAATGCACACTTTATAACTTGCTTGTTGGATTTATTAAAAACGAACGAATGAGAATTAAATGTCTTTGAATATCTTTATTATCATTTAAAAACGAAAATTAAAATGACCGGTAAAAATAGATTATGACCGGATTTTTATGACCTTGTCGGTCAAAATGACCAGCGACGAAAAAGTCTAGTGCAACGTCTGCTCCAACATGAACTGAAACTTTGGAGCTTCGAACATACTGCTGAAAATAAAAACATATACAACACTGAAATGACTCCCTGAGATGGGGTCTTTTTTGTGACCCTGTTGTGGCCGTGATGTCCCGACGGCTCTGAGGGATTTCCTTCCTCTCCTATAAGGGGCAGAGGGCCCTCAAAAAGAGAAAATGAGTGGTACTGCATAATAACTATTGCCCCCATAATAGATTATTTAATACAGTATGCATACCTAGGAGACAGAGTCCAATATTCAGAGGAAACGTAAGCAAATTATAACCCGACTTTCTCAGATACATTTGGAAAAAAACAATCAATTAACAAAATAATGTTTTGACAATCAAAATCGTTAACCTGTTCGGACCCAGTCTCTTTCATCCACAAGGATTTACTCTAGATGGCAAAGTCACTTTCTTCTGCTCCTGCTGCAGAGACAAAGTCAGTTACTTTCTCCTGAAAGCGTCCAGCTTCTCCTTATAACCCGTGCGCGCTGCGGCTGTCTCAACGTCTTTTCCCCGGAGAGACGTGTGCCACGTCAGGCGCTTGATTTTCTCCTCCCAGCTCTCCGGCGGCTTGAACACTTTCACAGGTAGTCCCTTTGCTGCCATATCCACAGTTGCCTCCTCGGCCGAGTTGTAGAGTTTAGTTTCGTCTTGAAAAAATACTCTCAGTCTGGCTGGGAATGGCGTCTGGAATCTTATTTTTTTCTCCTTCAACACCCGTTTTGCCTCTGCGTAATCCTTGCGTTTTTTCAAAACCTCCGGAGCATAGTCGTGATCTATATTCACTCTTTTCTCTTTGAAAACAAAGCCACGTTTTTGCCAGGCTGTCTTCACGATGTCCTCTTTGGAGCGGTGGCTAGCAAACTTGACCACAATCGATCTTGGCAGTGCGTCATGTGGAGGTCGGGGACCCAGAGCGCGGTGTGCCTTTTCGATGTGCAGGTCTGTGGAGGGTGGAAGGTCCAGGTTTTCTTTCAGTAGCGTTTTGACAAAGGAAATCACAGAGGCTGTGCTATCTTCAGCCCCTTCGCAGACACCGTGGATCCTAATATTGTCCCTTCTGGCTCGGCCCTCCTGATCTTGCCTCCAGGTGAGTCTGTCGTTTAAGCATCTCCAGTATCGCTCCCTCCACTCCTTGTACTCTCTTCCGCCTCGGCAATTCGCACTTCTGCCTCATTAATCCTGTTGTTAGTCTTGTTAATCTCTTCCTTAATGTCCTTCAACGTGTCTCCGTTCTCTCTGCGAAACTCTCAATTCTTGGAGAATCACGTCCAAGTCTGCCATGTTTTTTTCCTCGCTTAGTCCCTCTGTAGCAAGCTGGCTAGTGCTAATGCTAGCGCTAGTTTCTTCTTCGAGAAACTTGTCGGTCACAGGGTATTGTCTCGAGTCTCTACCTTGTCCCGGCTTTTTCTGCTGTATCCTAGGCATGTTATATGCCCCTACAACTAATTATACCAATTTACAGTGTTATCTGACCAAGTAACTGGGGCTTTAAAAATTAGCTTGGGGGGGCTGCGGGATTAGCGTGTTGCCTCCATGGCCGCTCAACCGGAAGTCCGGGGTAAATATCTTGTATATTGATAAGTATTCCTTTACGTTATGCATTCAAAACATTACAAAGTATGTAAGTAAATTAACAACTACTCAATGTGCATTAAAATGATCCCTGTCAGTGTTTTAGCTTTGTATTAATATCGCTTTAATGTGTGTTATAATTTAATGCTGTAGATGTTTAAGGTTGAGGAAAAAGGAAAAAAACGAGAGAAAAGGAGAGGAAGACAACGAAAAAAAGGGACAGAAGAAGAAAAAAGGGAGAGGGAGACAACGAGTAAATGGGACAGAAGAAGAAAAAAGGGAGAGGAAGACAACGTGTAAAAGGACATAAGTATGAAAAAAGGGAGAAAGACTGACAGAAAGGGACAGGAAGAGAAAAAGAAAAAAGGGAAAGGAAGACAACGAAAAAAAGTGACAGGAAGAGAGAGGGCCAAAAGGTACAAAATAATACATGTGTATTCTGTTAAAATTTATGTATCTGTATAATTGACCTGTTGTTGTTTTGTGTGTTATCTTCTCATTTCAGCACCACAACATAGAGGACAGCATCTACTTGCTGAACCTGCTTGCTGCTGCTGCCCATATTTGAGCTGTGTAAAGGTAAATCATCTCTGTCACATATACAGTCATGAAAGTACAACTTATCTAGTGAAATCAATTCTCTGTATTTGACCCATCCTAAATATTCTATCAGAGAGCATGCTGGTAAAAAAATAATATGTGAATATTCTGTTAAAATATGTGTATCTGTATAATTAACCTGTTGTTGTTTTGTGTGTTATCTTCTCATTTCAGCACCACAGCAATAAAAGGATCAATAAAGGATGTGGAGGGCCCCAAGCCTGTCTTCGCCTGGGCCCCAAAATGACTAACTCAGACCCTGCTTAAAGCAACACTTACCTTTCTGGAAATTTTCTTTGTTTAGGTTAAAATGCTATTAATAAGCAGATGGCACACTAAAATGTAAGTGAATTCCACCAGAAATAAAAACTCATAATTGTACCATTCTCAAATGGTTCTAAGAAACGTCAAGGAGGTCAAGTCAAACATCATAATGGACTATCCCAGTATTTCAGATACTCCAATAGAAGAAACTATGTTGAAAGCAAAGGTACAAAAGGGATTAATATCAAGATTGTATAATACTAATACTAATACTAATAATAATATAAACAATGGAATGAACCATAATTCAGCACGACATAAATACAAGTGGGAAAAAGATGTGGGACACGAATACACGCTGAAGGAATGGGAAGATCTATTGGAGAAAAAAAAGTTTGGTTAACACCAAACATAGACTTATGCAGTTTAACATATTTCACCATGTGTATTATACTCCCCCAGGCTACAGCAGTTGAGTCCTAATACACCATCTTAATGCCCAAGATGTAATGCAGATAATGGTGATATGATACACATGTTTTGGAGGTGCACACACTTGGAAGGATTTTGGAATAAAGTTTATAAATATACATCTGAAATATTACAGAAAAGAATTATCCTGGACCCCAGAATATCAATTTTGGGTGATGTAGAAATGTGTAAAGAAGTTAATAATGATGAAAAAAAAATATTATTATTAATAATGACAGCAGCAAAAAAATACATATTACTTAATTGGAAATCCAAATATGTACCTCCAATAACACAATGGGGGAAGAGAACTACTCTCATACTGCACTCCAGAAAAAATCATGTATAATGTTAAAGGTCAATCAATGAAATTTGATAAGATATGGGGCAAACTTGTTAATAATATAAAAAGATAGAAGGGCAGATATTGCTTTAGATTAATTTATGGATATTTCTTGTGTGTATGTAGGTTATGAGAGAATATATTTTTGTATTTGAATTAAGATTATAATGAAATGATGTTGGTAGGACAAAGAGAATGTTGAATATGTACATATGATGGGTGGGGAAGGTATGGGGTAAAGGAACGAGTAAATGTTTTTTAGCTTGTTTGTTCTTTTTTTTGTGTAAACGATAATGATTGTATTGACACATGCAAAAAAGAAAAACCCAATAAAATGCAATTTAAAAAAAAAAAAAAGAAAAGAAACGTCGAACTAGCCCTGAGATGACCATGGTTTTGCCTGGAGCTGTCCCGACGGGGAGATGCCGGCAGCGCTGTGACAGGAAGTGGAAGTGGGTGAAGAGCGGAGGGGTTAGCTCTAGGCTAAGAGCTAACCCCATCAAACCAGCTGTTCTCAGTGTCCTTCTGGCAGACGTCCGCTTGTTGGACACGAAAAATGGATTACATCTGACTGTGGTGATCCACTCACCGAGGAGTGAGGGACTGCTGCGTCCTTGTGTTCACTTGAGACATGGATGAATGGTAACATATCAGACTCCGGTGTTGAGCTAACAGGGCGAACACTACATAGAGCAGACAGGGAGGCTGCATCATCTGGTAAGCTCCGGCAATATAAGCAAACAATTCATGGTGCTGTAATGTGAAGAGGATCTCCCAGTTCTGCTCTCAGGATGTGGAGTTTTTCACTGTGAAATGTCGACCCTTTTCATCTTACTATTGCACTATATGTTCTTTCTTATATGTTGCACAAATTGTTTTTAAATGTTTTGTTTCTTTTTGCTTGGGGTATGTGAAATGTCATTTAGTTTTTGTGCTGCGCATAAAAATGACAAATAAAGAAGTTCAGTTCAGTTCATAATGTTATATATGACAGCACAGCATCCAGTTGCTAATGGCTAACGTTAGCCTACTGTAGCATAACCTCTGAAACATTAAAGGTGCTGTATGTAAGAATGTGGCCAAAACGGTCACTGCACTCAAATTCAAAATACTGCCACGAGTGGGGGGGGGCAGACATGATTTGTTGAGACTGATTTGTTTGCCCATGGGCGGCTGCCGTGGCAGGGCCGCGTCACCACGTCCTTGATCTTCGGTTTTCCAGCGGACCGTTCGAGCAAGTCCGGCTTCTCTGCTGCTAACACTGCTGCCGGGATACAGCTGAGGAGGAGCCGGCTGCTAATGCTGTGTACTGGGACACTGCTAATGCTGCTTGCCGTGCTGCTGTAGCTCAGTTGTAACTGTAACTGATGCTGAGACTCTACTGACTGTGTGACTGGTAGACGGCGGTCGGTGGCGCAACAGGCCAAAACACAAATTCAAAACATAAACATGATTTGCGGACCGTAAATTTTTTTTTTAAATGCGAATATTCTGGCCGTACTATTGTTGTCGGTGAGATCAGTATGTTATATAAACATTATTCCTTAGTCTCTGAGACATATTAGGAGGATTTTACGACTATTTGCTTTAGATTTCTTACATATAGCTCCTTTAACGTTATCTTCCTTATGTGTTTCCACGCACTGTAACCTTATTCTAAAACTCATCAGTCATCACTGACTCCGGTTGAGTTTTAAAACTCCAGAATCGATTGACTGTCTTGGTTATAATGTTACACTCGCTCTTCTCTTCTGTGTATCTAATGTTACCTTGCCAATGCCTATGCCTATCTTAGACATAATGAGGACGTAATGGAGGAGGGGGAGTGGGCCGTTGGAGGTAGGTGGAGTTCCAGAAGGAGAGGGATGGGACTTTGGAGGAAGGCGAGAGTTGTGGATGTTCAAATATTTTCTAAGTGCTGTGTGAAATGCAAGAAAGGTAAGAGTTGCTTTAATTCACTGAGTCAACTTCCAGCAATTTTTAAGGTGGTACGTTTGCCTGTCATGCTACTCAGTGCATGAGTTGATGACATGAATCCATCAGCGCACCTTAAATTCAAATATGACAACTTTAACAGTTCCATTAGTTTTTATTGTCTCTCTTGGATGACATACACTAATCCTCACTTGGAGAAAAAAAATGCGATGCGGAATGTTGTTCCTGTGGGCTACAGCAACTCTAAACCCCTGCGCTTGCCTGAGAAGGACTACATGCACAAACCTGCTATTTCTAAATATCCCATGGAGAGAGACTCTCACTGCAGCCTGTTCTATTTTGTTCTGAAAATATCGGTGTGCAACCCTGTTCTGTGGATGATACATGAGGTGCAGACTTCCCTCTGTGTCACTGGTGATGAGGAAATACAGTGACCGCTGGATGGAGCAGTGAGTAACAACAACCCTGTCCACATATAAGAGTACTTTTTGCGGTGAAAACGCTAAACGGAACTAGGGTCTAGGTACCATATCTGAAGGATTACCAAAGGTACCATAGCAGAAGTGTTTGGTGGAAACGGAACTTATGACAAATACTCATGCCAATAAAATCAAACCTCTCTTTATATTGACAGCCATGATTAGGCCCGTCATGATAATACATATAAACTTATATTACGATATATGGACATGACCCTTGATACTGCCTGTTGTGTTAACGTGTATTTGTTAACATAAAAAATGTTTATTACTTTTTTTTTTAAAGATGCTCTTTAAAAGGGTGCGCTTCTATTTTTATGCTATTACATAATCATAGCAGTGGCAAATGGTCTCAAAATGACAATATCATTCATCACAACTATAAAGGCCACTTTTGATTTTTTTTTTTTTTTTTGGTATAAAACAAACTCGAAAATTGATGAATTCAAGAAATTCTCTAACTACAGAACAAACTAATCTGTTTATACAAGTCATTTTTGAGTTCTTTTTGATGTTGCATCACAGATTTAAATGTTTTTGTTCTATGGCAACTTGTGCAACTCATTTTGGTCTGACCGGTACTATGATAATTCTACCACAATAACACAACCACTAAGTATCTCACACAACCTTATGTCAAAAAAATCTGAACTGTTCCTTTAAATGTCACATCATGATGCTGTGGTTACTGACCTGTGAGGTGGTTCCTCTGGCCTCCTCATAGTGCTCTGACATGAAAATATTGAACGGGGAGCGAGGACGCTTGGGCTTCCCCATGCTGTTTAACTCCTGGACCACACACACAGAGGGGGCATGGGTATATGTATCAATACATATGTTTAACAACAGGACACCAGTTGATGTAACAGGGTTTCAGTTTGCTGACTGGGGCTATTTCAGATTCACATTTAACTCCCACAGTCAGCCCTAAACTCAAACCTGCTGTTGCGTGCACCCTGCAGTGCTCTGTCCTGACACACTGCTTGTTTCAGTGCAGGGGCTGATGTGACAGAGGACAAAATACTGTCAGCAAAGTCACACCTCTAGATAGTTTAAATATCAAGTCTATGATGTGTTTCTAAAACCACATAAATGAAAATCTATCTTGAAACTTTTGACAAAAGATCACTCCAGCCTTCCCTTCTTGCCTGTCTACTACTCCTCTCCTGTGGAATCATCTTCCTGTTGAGGTCCGCGAGGCAGACACCGTCTCCACATTTAAGACTAGACTTAAGACTTTCCTCTTTGATGAAGCTTATAGTTAGGGCCGGCTCAGGCTTGCCTTGTACCAGCCCCTAGTTAGGCTGACATAGGCCTAGTCTGCCGGGGGACCTCCTATAATACACCTGGCACTTTCTCTTTCTCGTCCTGTTACTGCATTTTGCTAAATCGGCCATTCTGGATGTCACTAACTCGGCTTCTTCTCTGGAGCCTTTGTGCTCCACTGTCTCTCAGGTTAACTCGTATTGCAGCGGTGCCTGGATAGTGTGACGTGTGTGGTTGTGCTGCTGCCGTGGTCCTGCCAGATGCCTCCTGCTGCTGCTGTTATCATTAGTCATACTTCT